ACTACAGACAACAAGTTTATCGACGAGGATCAACTCGCACTATGGATGAACAGTATTTTAATGCATATATTATGTTTTCTAGCGATGGCTGTCGCCAATAATCGCATTAATACTTCTGATTGATTCTATGTGTGATTATTTCTTTGTATATATATATATATATATATATATATATATATATATATAAATCTATAACATATATTGTTAAATATAACAGACAATGAATGGCTATTATGTTTGATTATGAGCCGTTCTAAACGTCGTATTGTTGCTTTAATGTCGGTGGAAATAAAAACAAAAATTGTCCAGCAGTTAGATATTTTTTATTAAAATACTCCTTGATCTCAGCTTAAGGCTCACATGAGCCATCTTCAACGTGATTATGCGGACTTTTGAACAAAGATCTTCACTATCAAAGATGATATTCTGTTATGTTGACATAGAAGATTGATATGCAACGATAACGATCGCAGAATAGCAGACGCAGGTCGTAAATTCATAATGTGGTTCTATGACGTCATACAACATGAGAGACTGAAATATTAACAACAGAACCATATGTCTAGATGCAATGTAATATGTTGTGTCTAGTTTGAAATGTAATTTTGTTGAGTGTGGGTTGCTTTGTTTTAATGTAGATGGCCTCCAATATCTGTAAGGTTCTTTTTACTGTGTATACGTGTGAGTATTGCTTTGTTATCAACGAATTTCTGTCTAATATTATGTACATGTCTATGTTTTTCTAAGAAATATTTAATAGAATTAAGATAAGAAAAGTTACAGGTTAGTCTACGAGAGAGCGTGGTTGTAGTAAAACCAATATTTGTAGTGGGTTTATTATTACTATCAGAGGTACAATCTCTTAACGGGCATGTACACTACGTTGTTTATTTTATGTAGAGGATTTAGTTGTGTGGTTGAAGGGTTATAAAAGACTACAATGTCAGTTGTTTTAAATTTTTTATAATATATAATGAACTTATTTATTATTATTGCGTTTAACATTTCTACTTAAGTTTTTAAGTGTTGTTTCATCATGATTGTAATGATTATGCATTTGGTTACAATAGTATAAGTTAATAGTGTTATGTTTATTTTGATGTACACTATTATTATTAATGTTATGAATTTTGCTTGAGGTATTATTAAGTTTATTGAGATACATTTTAATTAGTTGATCAACGACGAAATTAGGAAATTTATTATTAACAAGTGTTTGTTTAATGTTATGTAATTCTTTATAGAATATGATTTTGGAAGAATATATCATTTGTGTAAGTTGGATTATATATATATATATATATATATATATATATATATATATATATATATATATGATAAGAAGAAAGTATTAAATACTTTTTATAAATATGGAAGAACTGTGAATATATAAGTCAAAGGTTACGAAATACATAAATAAGTTGTAGAGCACCTACGCGTAAGTGACATTTGACCAAATAAAATAACAGCGTGTATTGTCAATGAACGACAGATGCAGTCAGGTATCCCCATAAAAAGATCACCATCACCACCACCAACAACAGCAACAGCAATAACAACAACAGCAACAACAACCCTTTGTTCGATTTTGCTGTTTACTATTCTGCATAAGGCGAGCGTGTGTTCAGGTGCCTGTTTTGGAAGGCGAACAGGAATATTTTCTTGAAAAAAAAAGAAGAAAATTTGCTTATTTGATTTAAAACCTTTACTTAGAATGGCAAATGAAATCGTTTGGGAAAACTAGTGAGGATCAACATCATTACATAGAAGTAGGTGTCTATGTAATAGAAGAGCTATATAATCAATAATCCTCAGCGAAAGACAAAAGATATATATATATATATATATATATATATATATATATATATATATATATATATATATATATATAAAGGAAGAGGCAACAGTGATAAAATTAGCAATAATAAGATGGAATAAAACAATAGTAATAATGAAGAGTGTATAGAGCCAGATGGTGTTGAGGATAAAAAAAGCAACAATAATAAGATGGAATAAAACTAATAATAAAATAATAGTAATAATGAAGAGTGTATAGAGCCAGAGTATTGGGATAAAAAAGCAACAATAATAAGATGGAATAAAACTAGTAATAAAATAATAGTAATAATGAAGAGTGTATAGAACCAGAGTATTGGGATAAAAAGCAACAATAATAAGATGGAATAAAACTGGGATAAAAGCCAGAGTGTTGGGATAAAAAAACAATAATAAGATGGAATAAAACTAATAATAAAATAATAGTAATAATGAAGAGTGTATAGAGCCAGAGTATTGGGATAAAAAGCAACAATAATAAGATGGAATAAAACTAGTAATAAAATAATAGTAATAATGAAGAGTGTATAGAACCAGAGTATTGGGATAAAAAGCAACAAAAAAGATGGAATAAAACTAGTAATAAAATAATAGTAATAAGATGGCATAAAACTAGTAATAAAAAAATAGTAATAAAATAATGAAGAGTGTATAGAGCCAGAGTGTTGGGAAAAAGCAACAATAATAAGATGGAATAAAACTAGTAATAAAATAATAGTAATAATGAAGAGTGTATAGAACCAGAGTGTTGGGATCAAAAGCAACAATAATAAGATGGAATAAAACTAGTAATAAAATAATAGTATTAATGAAGATAATTTACACTATTTATTTATTGTGTCTGTTGATTTCATCTTTATTGTCATATTCCCGATGTTTTGGACGTTCCATTGAGCATTATTTATTAGATTGTTTATTTACAAGAATTATTTTATATTTACAACATTCTAAAAACTAATATAATTAGAATTAATGCAGTATTTATCCTTTACCAATTTATAAAGAAATAAATATGAAAACAATTTTGTATTCATGAATTTATAAACATTTATATCATAACAAAATAATAATCTTTATTCTTTTCTAACTCATTAAAAATACTTTCTTGTCTAAAAGTTTTTGTCAAACATGGATATATATAACCACAATAAGGTGCTTGTTCCCACAACAACTATTCTTAACTACCTTCACTCCTCGGCAATGTTTATTGTTTTAAAAAATGATTAGAATTGTAATAAAACCTAAACATATGATGAAAGTGAATTTATACATTTTCTTTGTTCTTGAGAATTTACAACAAAAATATTGAACATTATTTATTCTAGTTCCAAGAATAATTTTATATTAACAATTAGAATTAATGCAATTTCATATTTATTTCTTTATAAATTTACCAATTTATAAAGAAATAAATATGAAAACAATTTCTTATAAAAATTTTCTGTCAAAGTGGCATGAACTATATTTACCAGTAAAAAAAGAATTCGCTTATCACCATATTTGTACAAGAACGCACAATTGTAAAATTTAAAATCAAACTCAGCGTTGCTACTGCACGCCCCAAAAACAATAACTCATTTCTAATAGCATTTTTCGGATACAACAATACATATATTTTCGTTGTCCTCTTATTACTGAGAGTAAAAACAAGAACAACATCTATTCCATACCTGAAGATGTCTGTAGGAACAGACGAAAGCTTGTAGTAAAAATAAGAACTAATGCAACAGAAATTTATAAAAACAAGGATCTTTTCATTCATAACAGGTTCGGGGTTTTTGTATATTATTTGAATTGTTTGCGACGATGGATTTCACGCCAATTAAATCATTAACCTTTGTATTTGTTTTTGTATGAATAATTCATGAATTTGTAAATTGATTGCACCTTTATTGAAATATATATATATATATATATATATATATATATATATATATATACAAAAGTGAAAACTGAAGTCAACACTCAGTGGCGAAACGCTGTTTCATGCTGGACGCAATTCCGAACTGAACCCTATTTTGTCTACCGGGTTAGATTGTTAATCAGGAAGTGGCATGTCGCGTGGAACTAGAACAATCTAACCTGGTGGACGAAATAAAGGGTTCAGTTCAAAATTCCAATCACCTGTAGAAGGCCAGGGCGTACAACGGCCGAAACGTCATGAATATGGCAATAAAGATGAGGAAAACAGTACGAAAAATGTAAATAGTGTGAATATTTGGTTTTTGTTGTGTTTAAAGTTGCTAAACTCTAGAAGTAATAATCACATGATCTGTGAAAGTTTAAAAATTGAGTAGCCAGTCTGTTAGGGAATTTTTACACTGGTTCGTGTATATAACTGTCTATCTTTCATATTGAACACTTTATCCCATAAATATAGCACACCTTAAAACTATATTACTTTATATATATATATATATATATATATATATATATATTATTTTGTTTAAAAAACTGACATCGCTACATAAAAATTTCTTTGTGACGGAACTTAAAAATTGTTCCGTCATCAGGCGATGTTAGATAATTTATGATGAAAATGATATACTTATGAAAACAGAAAACAATACGGTAGCTTATTTAAGACTTAAAAAAGAGGAGGGAATAACATTTAAAAAAATTTGTGGGTATGTTTAGGTTAACCAATCGAAAGACGGGTCAAGGCTAAAGCAGAAAATTTAGAAAAATAGATTGTCGGTTAGGGATAGGCGTGTTATTTATTAATGTTAGATGAACTGACATTTTTCGGACGCATCACCATTAGCTTACATCCGTTTAAGAATATAACTTTAAGATACATTGAAATAGTCTGATATATATATATATATATATATATATATATATATATATATATATATATATATATATATATATATGTGTGTGTGTGTGTGTGAAAAGTGTATATAAAATAAATAAATATATATATGTATAATTATTTATATATTATATGCGCGGTACTTATTAGAAAGCGCTCAATATCAGAGATAGAGCTAACATATTTGGTTGGATAGATGTGAGTTTGTGACCCTGGGTTTCACGCTTTAGCGATCGTCAGACAAACTGATTAATTTTTTAAAAAAATTGTGTTTATGTAGATTGGGAAATTTCGTCGTTTTGTCATTGTACTAACGCAACTTGTTGAGAGAAGAGGAAGAAAGGGAAGATTACAGGGTAAAGAAAAGTGGGAAGGGAAGAAAGAAAGAAAGAAAGAAAGAAAGAAAGAAAGAAAGAAAGAAAGAAAGAAAGAAAGGCGAGAAGAGAAGTGGAAAATAAGAGAGTCGATGAAGAAAGGCAAGATTACAGGGTAAAGAAAAGAGGGAAAAGAAGAAAGAAAGAAAGAAAGAAAAGCGAGGAGAGAAGAGGAAAATAAGAGAGTCGATGAGGAAAGGCAAGATTAAGGTGGAAAGAAAAGAGCGGCGAGAAGAAAGAAAGAAAGAAAGAAAGAAAGGAAAGTGAGAAAAAAGAAAGTATGAGGGTAAGAAAAGAGTGGCAAGAGTAAGAAGGGGAAAATAAAAGAGTAGGGAAGAGGAGGTAAGACAAAAAGCGGGAAGAAGAAAGAACAAGAGAATGAAGGAGAGACGAAGAAGAAGAAGAAGAAAGAAAGAAAGAAAGAAAGGTACTGAATGCAGTAGAAAGAAGAAATATAATATAGGAATGGTGAGAAGAAGCAAGCGAATAAATAGGAAATAAAAAAGAATAATACAATGAATGAAAGAAAGGAAAGAGAATGTTAATAGATATGAAAAAAGGAAAGAAAATACAAAAAATGAGCATACGAAAGAAATAATAATAATAATAATAATAATTTCTTCAAGAGGAGAAGAAAACTTAGAAAAAAAACCCCAAAAAAAACATCAAAGAGAGAAATGAAGAAACAAGGAGAAAAACGTTTCCTTCTCTTCATGAAAAGCAAGCGAAGATTTTAATAGAAGAAAAGCCTCATGATAAAAGACATGGGGAAGGAAAAGAAAGAAACAAACAAACAAACAAACAAGTATTGTAAAGAAAAAGAATAGATGAAAAAAAAACGAACGAAAGTGTTAGAGTACCCAAGAATCAAAGAAGACGAAGAAGAAAAAAAGACTCTTTAAAAGTAATGACAGCGTTGCAAAAATCTTTTTTTTTGTTCCGTTGATTAAAAGACCCTTCTAAATCTAGTACAAAGGAATTCTTACCAAATTACTACCTCACAAGACTGGAACTAACAATAATTCTCTTCTTCTATCAATGTACACTTTCTTTTGAAAGAAAGTCTTTGAATTGTTGGTCACTGCGTCTTGCAACTTCAAAGGCTACTAACGTTGCCAAATAGCAACTAGAAAGTTTTCATCAAATAAAATTGTGTCTGTTTTAAAAGTAAACACTCGAGGCAATTTAGAATTACAAACACTTTCCTGGGCTAACAGTCTGTATGCACTAAAGCAATTTTTATTTGTTGGTCGAAACGGAGAAAAGCTTTCTAAAACCAATAAAAAAAATGGCGTCTTGTCTGCATTCAGACGAGAAAATTATTCAATAAGAGATAATATTAAGTATATAAGTCTTTTTTTTTTAGTTTAATTTCTGATAACTGACCAAAAACATTTTTCCAAGATTTGCAGCATGTCTATAGTAAAATCCTCTTTCTCTTTGTATCCCATGTTCCCTCAGGACGTAGGCCATCATGGCTCTCTACAACTTCCAGTCCCTTTTAGCTATTAATAAATGTTTTTCTTTCTGTTATTTCTCCTAAAGCTTGTTCCGCCATCCATTAACTGAAACTCACTAAGTATGTTACGTGTTGTTTTCTTCTGTCCCTCTTGCCTTCTATCTGTCGTGTGAGTATCAGATTTTCAAAGCCTTCCTGCCTCATTACGTCCTGGGTAAGACGATAAAAATACATCCCCAATGAACCCAGAATCTGGGGTGAAAACACTATGAAAGTGTAAGTATAGGTTTTAATACCAGCTATAAATTTTTGGAGGAAAAATTATTACCAGCAATACAATTTTGAAGAAAAATATTGCCAGCAATACATTTTTGAAGGAAAAAATATTGCCATCAATACATTTTTGAAGGAAAAAATATTACCAACAGTACATTTTTGTAGGAAAAATATTACAAGCGATACATTTTTGAAGGAAAAATATTGCCAGCAATACATTTTTGAAGGAAAAAATATTACCATCAATACATTTTTGAAGGAAAAAATATTACGATCAATACATTTTTGGAAACAATATTACCAGCAATAAAAAGCTTGTCGGCATTAAATAACCCACTGAAGTCAATATACCGTAAAAAAACCCAAAAAAACCAAACCAAATCAAACCTTCCTCGTTATGTACGCCATAAAAGTCAACTGTGTTTTCCTGATGTTAAGTATAAGTTTCCTTTTAGTTTTCATTGTCTATAAAACTTTGTCGTTGCTTAAATGTTCGGTCTATGATATCCTTGGCCTCTTTCTGTAGAACCACATTTCCGTTGCTTCCAATCTCTTCTCCAACTTTGAGGAGATTTGACAGCACTCATGGCTTTACAGGTGGACATATATCGCGTAACAATAGGAAAAGAGTAGGACTCTTTTCCTTGTTTCTAGCATTTTTTTCTATTTCTTAATACTCTGCTTAGCTTTTGGAATGCATCTTTCGCTATTCCAATGTGTCTTTGGATTTCAGTGTCACACTTTCCGTTTTCTGTTAGAACACTTCCTAGATACTTAAATATTTGTTTGATTCCGGTATTTCACATTTGCAATTCGTATTTTGGGTTCAACCTTTTAGTAACAACCATACATTCTATCTTCTTGCAATTGATGTTTAGTCCTTTCTTCTCGCTTTCCTTCACTGCCTTCTACAGGATTTTTTTTTGTTGTTCTCTTTCTGCGTCTGCTATCAACACTGTGTTATATGCATATCATTTGCTGTTAAGTTTGTAGCCGTTACTAATAAATCCTGGTAGGACGTCTAGTTCTCTCAGAAATACCTCACTGTATAGGTTGAATAAGTCCGGTGAGAAGACCCCTACTTGTCTTACACCCCTTTCTATATTTATATATCTGCTGACCTCATTTTCTCTCCGTACGCAGACGGATTGCTGCCAGTATTTGTTCTTGATTATTCTAATATCCTCCCCAAATATCTCAAGTTTACGTAGCAGTTGGATCAGTTCTTTTAAATTCCTTTATGTATTTTCTATCAACAGAGTGCCAAGCAATAATGAATTTTGGTTAGACTTGTAATTCTCTCAGAATCGCCTCACTGTATAGGTTGAATAAGTCCGGTGAGAAGACATATCCTTGTCTTACACCCCTTTCTGTTTTTGTATATCTGCCGAACACTTTTTCAATTCGTATGCAGGCGTTTTGCTGCCCGTATAGTTTCTTGATTATTATAATCATCATCATTATCAACCTCATGTGAGTATCAGATTTTCTAAACCTTCCTTCCTCATTACGTCCTGGTTAGAAGGTTTTGAGGAGCGTAGAACTACCTCTTAATTGCTGGTGTTCCCAAATCCACCCTTGACTTTTGTAAAATTGCGAAAAAATAGTGTACTGATTACAGAAATCAAAGTGATCAAATATTCGTACACATACAAATTTTTAATTTATTGTATTTCCAACTAATGAATAAACATATTTTTCATATAATGAACTGTACACAGATGCATAATAATTAAATATGCATAGAAAACAGAAAAAATGATTTAACAAAAATAAATCCCATTTATCCATTTTAATAAGTAAAAAAAGTATTCCTACAATCCAAATTTCACATTTTAAAACTTTTACATTGTTTTAATACTCCATATTATTCAAGTGGAATCTAGAATGTTCCAATAATGTTATCATTGGTTAATTCTACCCTAAAAATACAAACAGAACATTCTTTAATTGATATTCATGCAAGAAGGTTTTCATCATGGCAAGATGTAAAGAATTGACAAATTCGCAAAAAGAACTGATTGTTAAGTTTTGGAAAGAAGTTAAAGTTACTGGAAAATATCAGACAACCTGAATACTCCATTTACTACCATTAGTTCATTCATTGCATGGTATAAAAAACTCAAAACTGTTGAATACCTTAGAAGAACAGGCGATCCAAGAAAGATTCTTTAAAGATCTTTGAAGAAATTAATGCATCAAAGTAAATAAAATCCAAGAGTTTCAGGATGATTTGCTTTCATCAGGAATTCGTGTCACTTACAATAATCATTGAAATTTATGGGAATAATCTAAAGTCACGCACCCCCACTTGGAAAACACAAACGCTACTGAAAAGATACAGAGATGCCAAGTTGAAATTCATTCGTGAACATAAGGAAAAGGAAAAATCGTATTGCGGAAGAGTATTATGGACAGACAAAACTAAAACTCAGTTTTTTGAATGTAATTCTAGAAATTATGTATGGAGGAAAGATGGCGATGGCTTCAAACAAAAGAACACAGTTCCGACAGTGAAATATGGTGGTGGTAGTATCATAGTTTAGGGATGTTTTTTTTCTGCAAAAGATACTGGCAATATATCAGTAATAGATGTTAGAATGAATGCCGCAGCATATCAAAATATTATGGAAGCAAATTTAATGATTTTGGTTGAAAATTCTGAACTTTCTCCTGACTGGATCTTCCAACAAGATAATGATCCTGAGCACATTGCAAAATCTACAAAGAAATGGCTTGCTGAAAAAAATGTAAATATCCTGAAATGGTCCCAGATTTAAACCCAATCGAGAAATTGTGGCGTAATTTGAAAATTCAAATCCAATCGAGACCTCCAACAAACCTACCGAATCTGAAGGCCATATGTAATCATATGAAAAGTATGTTTATTCATGTGTGTGTGTGTGTGCGTGTATATGTATATATAAAACACTAATATTATATATATATATATATATATATATATATAATACAGCAAAATCCAAAATTACTTTATATAGGAGGGATAGATCTATTTCACTTGACGACAATAAGTATGTCAGTCTTACTCTACCCCGATGTATAGATTTTTGTTCGTCAGTTCTCCCCCACCCGCCCCAATATAAGGTAATTTTGGATTTTGTTCAATCCTTTATATACTCTGATATAATAAATACATTGAGCTATTTTTATCGATCAGTTTTAATATTTGTTATTACTAGGATATCAACGGATTTATTACCTGTACTATATATATATATATATATGTGTGTGTGTGTGTGTGTGTGTGTGTGAGTGTTGCTATATATAAAGAGAGAATTACAAGGTGAATGAGTGAGTGAGAGAAAGATAAAGATAGATAGAGATAATTGAGTACTGATGTCAAAAAAGACAAACAAAATTGTCTGCCTTACGCCAAGAAAAGGAAGTAATTACATTTTTCTCTCCATGATGGATTCAAAGAAAGTTATGAAATAAACGGTTTTTTTTTTTTAATCTTACTTTTTTTTTTTCTAAATCAACGCTGTTTTTCGTCGATGCTGCGTAGAGCAACATTTTACATGCAATATGTGTTATCAAACTGCGTGCATATCTCTACGGCATTCTTACCGGAAGTCCAACATTTCGCTTCCGGCTTCGGAAAGCCGCATAAACAATGGCAACCATCACGATTTTTGCATATTTCAAAGAGGAACCGAATTTACCGAAACTAAGCTCCATCGGGCACAACACATTTAGGAGAAAATGTGTTGCGCCTATCCTCCCTTTGGGGAGGACCTATCAACCTTGAACATTAAAAATCTTAATAATAAAATCGTGTAAATCTTAAAATTTATATGAATTCTAATAACGATGCAGACAAGAGACAGGAATTATGTGGAGAGCCATGAACGCCTACGCCCTGAGGGGAACATGGGCATCCGTAAATTGCTCGAAATCAATTGCCCGGAAAATAATTTCTCGAACTATCAATTGCTCGAAAGGCAGATTGCTCCAAACCTCTGGTTAACTGAACAGTTAAAATTAAAGAACAAGTACATTTACATAGGAGGTCTTTTTTTTTTCTCGAAAGGCAGTTTACTCGAAACCTGTGGTTAAAAAATAAAACTGCATTGTATCTAATATTTACTATAAGATAAAATAATACAACTTTATTCTTGTTAACTGAACAGTTAAAATTAAAGAACGACTACATTTATATAGCAGGCCTTATTTTATCCTTCTAGCTTCGAAATTACTTCGAGCAATCTGCCTTTCGAGCAATTGATAGTTCAACAAATTATTTTTCGAGTAATTGATTTCGAGCAATTTACGTAGATCTGGGGAACATGGTACATTAAGAGAAAGAGGGTTTTACTTTTGACATGATGTATATGCTTTATATTATCTCTTATTGAATAATTTTTTCTCGTCTGGATGCAAACAAGATACCATATAATACGTTTACCACTCGTAACTGATTTGAATATTGGTACCAGATGGCTGGTGCTAATTCCTAGAAGAGTGATACATTTCATATTCGCCGACTAACGTTTTCCGTTAATATGTGATTGATAAAGTATGCTGAGTCAATTTCTAAGTCTACAGCTATTAAAATTGTTTCACTGCGACGATCAAGAAATTTTTTCACACCAGAATCTATATTACATGTTTATAGGTCTACAAGTCGTCATTGCTTTGAATATTGCTTCAATATCTGGACTGGTAGACCTGCTATATATTTAGAGATTCTTGATAAAATCCAAAGAAGTATCTGCAATTTTATTAGTCTTTGATTATATTCAATTATCGAAGTCTGTTGCTACTTTGTTCATTGTCCAAGATTATTTTTCTCACCAGAAGGAACACTGAAATTAATTGTAACGTCGAGCGCACTTGGGTTTAATAGGAGGAGGTTTCATTCCTGTCCTGGTACCCGGGAGGGATGTATCGCATACACTCAATCTGATCGGGCGGATGTGCACAGGGAGCTAGCTTAAGTATGGCCGCCAAGTGTACACGAGACGCCGATGAAACGACCGGTATACACAAGAACACTCACAGGGCACAGGCAATTGTCGTCCTTGAATAGCGGTTACTAAATCTTCTTTCTTTTTATGTGCCATGTCCTTTCAGGACGTAGGCGATCATGGCTCTCCACCTCCTTCTATCCCTTGCAGCTTTCAGCAAGATCCTTTCCTCTGCTTCCTCCTCCTCCAGACCACGTTCTGTCATCCACCTGCTCAAGCTCGTCAGATATGTCACGCGCTGCTGTTCCTTGTCTCTCTTTTCCGTCTATCATGAGTATCAGATTCTCCAGGCCCTCCTTCCTCATTATGTGTCCTAGAAACTTCATCTCTCTCCAAACTGAGGTGTCAGAGGCAATTAATGACACGATCAAAGACTAGCATTACTTTTTTTTTTAATAATAATATTGGGGTCTTTTCCATTGCTAATAATACATTTATCTCAACAGACAATTCTACAGAATCTGAACGGTTTTTTTTATTCCATCTCTAAAACTTGATACGACTTTCAATACAAAGTGCGCTTCGGTTATGGTTAACGAATCTAGTCCAGTTAAGCATTACTACTAAGTAGCGAGTTCAATCCTAACTGGGTGCTATATATTTGTAATATCGAACCAGATCTTTTAGTTTCTGTCTATATTTCTGAGATGAGGTATTATGTACATTATTTTCATTATTCGGTTCAGTTCGAAATTTCAACCACCTGAAGAAGGCCGGAGCGTACAACGGCCGAAACGTTGTAATAAATATGGCGACAAAAATGAGGACAATAGTCCGAATAATGTAAATAATGTATCTTTTCGTTTATTTAAAGGTTTCCACCGGTGTGAACTTGATTGATTCTATTGAATCAATTGCTAGGCCTACTGATAGGAAAGTTGATTCAATGTGTCGTGCCAGGTAATTTTTATCGCCAGAATATATCTTACATATTTATAAGTCTACCATTCGTCCATAGATTGAATATTGCTGTCGTTTATTGTCCGGTGCTTCTGCTACGTATTTAGAGTGGCTTGATAAAATCCAAAGGAGAATCTGCATTTTTATTGATCTTGACATGGCATTTCGGCTTCAGTCACTTGCCTTTTCTATAAATACGTTCATGGTAATTGTTCTGGCGAATCAATTGCTAAACTTTCTGTTAGGAAATTTGGTTTGGTGCGCTGTGCTAGACATTTATTTTTCTCTCACCAGAATCATTTATAAGCCTATTACTCTCCCATGTATTGAATATTGTTGCAATTCTGAACTGATGCCCCTGTGATATTTCTCGAGGTATAATGTTATCGGTCCTGACCTGGTATCTCGGCTTCACTAAGGCTTACGGCCACATCACGTTGATACACCGGTTTCCGTACGATCACCGAAGTTAAGCAAATGTCAAGCCTGGTCAGTAACAAGATGGGTGACAGCTTTGGAATACCAGCTGCTTTAAGTTTGGATGTGCGAGTCATGTAATGTGTTTATGGGCATATCTCGTTGAAAATCTGGTTCACATAGGGTCACCGAAGTTAAGCAAATGTCAAGCCTGCTCAGTAACAAGATGGGTAACAGCTTTGGAATACCAACTGCTGTAAGTTTGGAAGTGCGAGTCATGTAATGTCTTTATGGGCATATCTCGTTGAAACACAGGTTCCCGTACAATCACCGAAGTTAAGCAACGTCGAACTTGTTGAGTAACAAGATGGATGAACGCTTGGGAATATCACTTTCTTGGATGTGCGGACAATGGCTCGGAATTAAAAAAATGAATAAATTCCCTTTCATCATATATTTAGTATTTATTCCAATTCTAATAATCGCTTTTTAAAACAATAAACATTGCCGAGGGAGTGAAGGTAGTTAAAACAATAGCGGTGTCATGGGAAAACCCGTCCTTTTAACACACCGTTTTTTAAGCGAACACAAACTTAGCCGAAATTACACGTGTTTTTTTATTTACATTATTTACATTATTCGGACTGTTATCCTCAGCTTTGTTGCCATATTAAACAACGTCTCGGCCGTTGTACGCTCCGGCTTTCGTCAGGTGATTGGAATTTCGAACCGAACCGTTTATTTCGTCTACTGGAGTAAATTGTTCTAGTTCCACGTGCCATGCCTCTTCCGGATGTCTCAGTTATTTCCCTTTAACTCAATTCGCCAAGTTTTTTCTGCTCTAGCCTGGTATTGAACTCACAATTCTTTGGGTCTAGTCACTGGATCTAAGCTTCATTGACAATCCTTTTCCACACTGGTCATGCATCGCTGTCCCTAGATCCCAAATGTCCAACCCTGGTTCCCGAGCTATGGTGTCTGGGAAAGTCAATTTTCGTGAGAAGACACTTGCTGAATCATGCCGTGAGATTAAGGATCAGACGATTTCCCTGTCCCGCTCAAACTTATTGGAAATTACAAGTGTCACAAGAACTGTAAATTCTAATTCTTAAGGACTCGTACAGCAGAAGAAATTTCGAATGAGCGGATAAATAGATAGGTAATCTTCATCATCTTTCGACCTGCCTATGGCTGGTCAGAACTTCATTGACAATCCCTTTCCACAGTCTTCGGTCTTGCATTGCTGACCCCAGATCCCCAATGTTTAACCCTGAGTCCCGAGCTATGCTGTCTGGGAAAGTCAATTGTTGTGAGAAGACGCAGAAGGGTGCCATCGGAATAAGGATGAGACAATTTCTCTGTAGCCGAAATTACAAGTGTAGGCACGGTGGAGTAGTGGAGATCGGCTTGGATTGAGGAATCGCAGAGCCGAGTTCGAATTCCAGTCGAATCCATTACATTCACTTACGTGCTAATAACCTTGGGAAAGGTATGAATCCTTTTCTTCTCCCCCAGCTATGGGTAAATAGCAGGACAGACTGGATTCTATAGCCTTGGATGGCAACTGGTCTTGGAGAAAGACAACTCTGAATTCAAAACCTGCGGAGGGTCGTTCGGGAACCTTGTGGCATTCGGTGCACCAGGTCTCTGTATTCGTCCCTTCAAAAAGTGTGGATGGTCCTGCATGAAGCCTTCACCACTATAATCATATCTAATGTGCCGCTGTCAGTTTCCTGGGAACTGATCTGCTTGACCCTCATACGTCGAAACCGACGGGAGAGTCGACTATATATATATATATAATATACAATATAATATTAATATATATAATGTATTAATATTATATATCTATCTATCTATATATATATATATATATATATATATATATATATATATATATATATTGTAAAGTGTATATTGTATACACTGCACGAAACCATCACCACTATAATCAAATCTCATGTGCTATACATGCGGGTGGGAACCGCTTGTGAATTCCAAATTACAAGTGTCTTTTTTTATATTAAGTATAAAATTAAAGCAGAAAATTACAAGAACTGTAAATTCTAATTCTTAAGGACTCGTATAGCAGAAGACATTTCGGATGAAGAAGTCCGAATTATTCTGTGATTGATGACTGAAATAGGAGAGAGGACATTAGTCTTGGACAAGGGCTTAGAAGAATACAGACAAGCTAATAATCTGTGACTTGTTAGTCTTTATTACCTGTTGTAGTTGCTTCAGTTGGGCGGAATGTAGTAGACGTAAAGCCTTGGCTGGTCTTGCTGACTGTGGTGCTAGCATTAAATTGTTGGGTTGTAGAAATGTCCGGCATGTTTGTCGTAGGTGGGATTGTTAAAAAAATTATTCAATCGCCATCTTCTATCATTTTGAATCTCCTTCATCTTTTATCCTTTCATCAATCTTCCTTATACTCAGTTTTTCCACTGACTTTCACTCCCTATAACCCCCTGTACTAGTATTGCCCCCACCTCGCCTGGATTGCAACGATTAAAAAGATGCATCTTAAACTCCTTAGTTAGGTTATACGTTGTTTTCCTCTGCCTTCAATATATCCTGTGAATTTTTTCCCCACTATGTGCTGAAATAATTTCTTTATTATTTTTATGTCAAAGTATAAAATTCAAGTAACAAAACCTGTGAACTTTTTTCCCCACTATGTGCTGAAATAATTTCTTTATTATTTTTATGTCATAGTATAAAATTCAAGTAACAAAACCTGTGAACTTTTTTTCCCACTATGTGCTGAAATAATTTCTTTATTATTTTTTATGTCAAAGTATAAAATTCAAGTAACAAAACCTGTGAACTTTTTTTCCTATGTGCTGAAATAATTTCTTTATTATTTTTATGTCAAAGTATAAAATTCAAGTAACAAAACCTGTGAACTTTTTTTCCCACTATGTGCTGAAATAATTTCTTTATTATTTTTATGTCAAAGTATAAAATTCAAGTAACAAAACCTGTGAACTTTTTTTCCCACTATGTGCTGAAATAATTTCTTTTTATTTTATGTCAAAGTATAAAAATAAAAAAACCTGTGAACTTTTTTTTTCCCACTATGTGCTGAAATAATTTCTTTATTATTTTTATGTCAAAGTATAAAATTCAAGTAACAAAACCTGTGAAATGTTCACTACTAGTACAGTAAAATGAATATCTCTATTTTTTTAAAAATATACGCTCTTAAATATGCGCCGGAGGAAGTCGTCAGTGATGTAAATTGATTTGGTTCATCATGGAGTTTCGGGTCTTTCCACATCATACACGCCATCACCAAGTCAACCCCAGTCAGGGGAAATCAAACATTGATCCCCCTCCTCCGCAATCAAAGGCTAGCAGAGACTCTGGTCTTTATACTAAATAGGAAGAAAGTCGACCACGTTTTCCTCACACTTGATTGGATGTTCATAACTGTTGGAATTTTTGGGTACCCTGGTGTACTAGTGAGCTAGCCAAAATGAGCTGACTCATTTTATAGTTCACCGATAGAAGGGTTAACCAATCAGAAGGCTCAAAATATTCAATGCGACGTGTATAAAGGCAGCCATTTTGTTTTTTCTCCAAAAATATCTTCACTGCCAACCTCTGATATCGAAGACCTGAAGAATTACAGAACAGTTGCTACTAGTGATATTGGCGTTGTTCCATTGAACACATTACGTACTGCACTGGATTCTATATTCAAAGACTACGGCAAACATGGTCAACAGTAACAACCAATCCAATCAGCGGACTGAATTTTAAGTGGTCCACGGGGGTTGGGGACTGGCTCCTTTTATTATCAGATGGATAGCAGCTTCCGTGGATAATCGAGGGGGGTAATTTAACATTCTTAAACTGTAGGTTGTTTGCCAAAGTTTGGTGCTTTACTCTAAGAATTTTAGGTTTTCTTTTAGTTAAATTATCTTCTCTAAAATTCTATAACTTAAAACTACTTCTAAACATTATAACATTTAAATGACTATTGAAGCCAGCTATCAGTAGTGGAAGGAAAAAAAAAACTCCTCAACCCTATCATTTTTTATAAATATCGTTTAAACTATTTTCTAACATTATTAGGGGTCCATTATCGTTTTTAAGGACGTATTTTCAAGTTTTTAAATAATTATTTTCTTTTAAGTTTCCATAAACATGGCGTATCAGCTTATCTATACAGAAATTATATCGACACGCAAAGAATAAAGTAATAATCGTTAAAATAGACTAATAAAATATGAAGTCGGTTAAAATACAATAAATGTGAAATTACCAGAACTGTAAATTAAAATTCTTAAGGACTCGTACGACAGAAAAATTTTGGACGAAGATCTGTTATGTGTCAGGCGTGATACACGCGTAGGCGATCATGTATCTTTCGATACATGACTGACGAGGCAGATGTTTCCCGTAGCAGGTTGCTATTTCTTTCTATGGTAGACTAGTTGCCATCCAAGGCTATAGAACCCGATCTGTCCTGTTAATTACCTATAGCTGGAGAAGAAGAAGATTCGTACCTTTACCAATGGTATTAGCACGTAAGTAGATGTAATGGATTCGACTGGAATTTGAACTCGGCTCTCCGAGTCCTCAATCCGAGCCGCTATCCATTACTCCACCTCCGTATGAAGATACAACCCCGAAATATTCTGTAACGGTTACTGGAATTGAATAGCTTTAGCTACGAAAGATTTAGTTTCGTATTCTTATTGGACGTTACAATGTTAACATTACAGAATTCAACTGCTCACAAAAACCATTAGTAAGACCTTGGTGAATGGAACCCATTAAAATAAAGTGTCTAGGTCAACGCAATGAATCGCAGCTTTCGAATCCAGACTACGAGTTAGTGGCATATTGGATGAATATTACTGCATCAAGGTTGACAACGATTTTTTTGCCCTGACAGAACCTCGGGTCGGTCAATAATTCGATGGAAAGGATTTTTAAGAAAACCATTTGACGGCAACGTCTGCTAAATATGCTGTCAGAAATGAAAAAGTTTTGCCGGGAGGGGGCAGAGGCGAGTAGATTGATGCGTTTTATCGGAAATGAATTCTTTGGAGACTACGGTCGTAATTCTAATCGGGGACATGGGTATCAAGAGAGTGGCT